GGTGGGTTCAGGGTCTTTCATCTTACATCTGCCTGCGAGCAGTTTGGAGGTGCAAGATACCTGAGCGTGTAATGTTAATTTTACCTGTGTTCATGGAATAAATCAGCACTGTTTTGTAGTTACTTGGACTGTCTCGTCTCTCAGAGTCAGTATGGTAAAAAGTACCGGGTACAACAAACCATAGGCCTCTCTTCAGGGTTTTCAATATAACGCAAGATACGAAGGCAAAATGTCAGTACAGCCAGGTAGAAAGCATTTTGTTTTCTAATGCTACTTGGTACTCGGTGAAAAGGCAAAGAAAAAGTGGCATGTTCATGAACATGTTCATGAACATGCCACTTTTTCACTGTGGCCTTTGCTCTACAGAACTTCTATCCAGACGCAGTAAAGGTCATTACTATTATATGTCTGAGGAGCTGTTTACAGATAAACTACTGCACTGGTACTTTTTGTGACGAGGAAACATATCACCCACTGTAACTCTGTGGCTCACTGATGTGTTTTTGAAGAACACCAGAACTCTACAGTGTGCCACAGATGAATAACGCAATCATGTTTTGGACCTACATGCACAATCCTTAATAGTAGGAGACATTCATTGTTATTTTTTGTCTTTTCATGGGTTTTTTGACAATAAGAAAATGATATAGAATCACCAGCCTCGTCCTTGACACCTCCATGCTGACAACCCTCAGAAAACACTCCCATCCAAAACCTCTTTCTGCTGTTGTTTGAGACACATACATACCTTGTGTTCAGTGGTGTACCGTGACACATATTGTGTTGTGTGCTGTCAGGCTGTAAGATGAACAACATCAGCGTGGTTTACACACCATGGACCAACCTGAAGAAAACTGCAGACATGGACATAGGACAGATTGGCTTCCATAGACAGAAAGAGGTCAGTAAACCACAACTGAAAGAAAAACACTGAAGTAACAAAGACTTTGAGCAAACTAAATGAAGACTTCATACTCACATACTGTAAATGAAAGGCCACAGTCTGTTTCATCTGTTCTGATCCTAACATTTTCACTCTACTTCAGTGATCTCACATCACAAGTACCTTCTGGCTGTACTGCCAACAGTCAAGGTGTTTCATGACTGTACTGCTTTTCACACAGGTGAAGATCGTGGCGGTGGAGAAGAAGATCAATGAGATTGTAAACCGTCTGGAGAAAACCAAAGTAGAACGATTCCCAGATCTGGTGGCAGAGAAGGAGTCAAGAGACAGAGAAGAGAGGAATGAGAAGAAAGCTCAACTCCAAGAACAGAAGAGGAAAGAGAAGGAAGAGCAGAAGAGGAAAAAGGAGATGGAGGAACTCAGGTACATTTAGTCCAAGTGTTTTTCATTTGTTTTTTCATTATGTTTGATGCAGGAAAGCTGGATGGCAATGAAAAAAAAGCAATATTGTAAAACATTTTTATCAGACTTAGTAGTTTGGGAGAAGAAACATTCAAATTTCACATTTTACAGGCTTGACAAAAGCAGATTAATGTCACATTGCTGAAAAAACATAGAAGAAAGCATCTGGATGTAGTTTTAGGTAGAAGACGCTTCACCTCTCATCCAAGAGGCTTCATCAGTTCTGTCTGACTGGTGGTGAGCAGGAGGTATTTATCCCACTGGGTGGTGTTTCAGTCCTTCCATGGCCAACAATGTCCCCTAATGACTGAGTTGTTGGGGTTCCAGTCCTTTGGTGGCCAACAATGTCCTCTAACAACCAAGTTGTTCCACTCCAATTCACACCAGGACAATAGGTGTCGGTCCACAGGTGAGGGTTCAAAGACAGGTAAACGACTCTCACCCATACCAAACCCCAACGAAACTACATCCAGATGTTTTCCTCTAAGTTTTTTCAGCATACTATGACCTGGATGACTGAGAATTTGCATGGATATATCTGTCATATTTAAAAAGTTGCTGGATAATTCACTTTAACAGTTGGATCAGAACAGTTAAAGAATGATCTGTTTGTGCACTAAAATAGCTGCCACCCACCTCACACCTATGGCACAATGCTTTGTGGAAACCCTGACTGCCCAAAACACTGCTTACACCTGATACTATTACTAATAAATTATTTTTTCTGTCAAATCCTGTTTTGGCACCCCTCTGCAGGAGCTATACAACACTGATGAAGAGTGAAAACATGATGACTAATGAGGTGAGAATGTCAAAAGAAATCATATCAACTCTCACAGGCAAAAAATCTAGACATGTTTTTGTTCATCATGTAATGTAACTCACAGAAAAGTCAGGAAATTTGATAAATCATCTATAGGTCGATGAAGAAGAACTAAACCACTGGAATGTTTTACTCTCGTGATCATTTTAAATAGAAGATCACTACTAGAGATGTGGTTTGACATTGAAGTTTTTAATGTCGATGAGAAACTAAAATTTAACTCCATTTGTTTCAGTGTTGTAGAACAGTAACCGTTACCAATACACAATTAAATGCGCCACAGAATGGGTGAGCATACCTGTGGTAGCACTGTATTCAGGTTAAATGAGGTTTGGCCCAAAAGAGGGGTGTCAGACCATGTTGTCATAAATCTTCAGGGCCCCATAACAAGCAACACTACTTTAAAACCTTAACCTATCCTAAAATACACATGTAGTGATTTCATGGGCAAAACACAGACCATCCTGTTGATTAAAACCCACAGATATAGTTAAATATACTGCAACAGGACAGCCCAAATCACCTGTTTGCTTCCAGTAACTAAGGTGGATGTCAGCGTTCTCTCTGTTCATTATACTAAGTTGCTGTCCACCCTCACTGTCTTAGAGATGTTATATCAACCAGAAGAAAAATATACCAATAGCACACCATTTGACTAAAATATCAGTAGTATAATCAACCCAAATATACTGTAAGTTCTGTGTGGATGTGAGAGTGTAGGTAAGTCCCAGTGTGTCAGAACCACCCCCCTCTTTACCTGCACCAACACAATCCTCCAGTATCTACTGTAACTTGTTCATCTACAGTATCAAACCAATCAGTCAAGCTTATGGGTAAGCCATAAAACTAACAGAAAAAGCTGAAAGGCAGCATAAAGGTTTGTCCACTTCTGTAGGGAATGTTATGTTACAGAAGAGCTATGACATTTGAGAATCATGTGTGTCATTTACAGGATGGCTACGATTCAGATGACTTCATGTAAGAGGTGTAGACCAGGCAGCAGGAGGCAAGCTGACCAACTCCTCCCCCTCCACTCAGATCTGCTGTCAGGACACTACTCTGCTGCTTTGTGCTTTCTATAGCTCTGCACTGGCACTGGGGAATAAGACAAATGGATACCTTTTGCTTTTGGACACTGAGCAGACAGAAAGCCAGTTAGGGACAGCGCCTGGTCTGATTCCACATGCTGACTGGTTCAGACACTGCTGGCCTCTTCATCACAGGATGATACTAAAGAAGAAGAACACGGGAGAACAGGAGCTGTGAGGGTCATTCTGGGGAGAAACACTCAAATAGCCAAACAGTGTTTGATTGGATTTTCTCTGCCATATGAACAGATGTATGATAATACTGGAGTCTGTATGGGTGTTTCAGTGACTCTGCAAACATGAAGTCTATAAAACCTGCTTGCTTTCTTCATTTGTTTATTTCTCTGCATGTCAGATTTTATTAAATACAATTCAGTGAATGAATTAAACTCGGGAATTGATACCACATGCACATCTGTTCACAAACCATTATATTCTTTTGTAAAGCATCAAAAACCAGTCCCAGCCACTCTCATCCATTTGCAGAAACACTGCGCACTTAAAAATTCATGAAAAATCTCATACCTTTTCCCCTTAATACAGCTGTGGGAAGAATGGCCTCCATCTTGTGATTTAATAAGTCTGCAACTAATAGAATTGAGAAAGCAATCTCCTCACAAGTTCCATTTAGTAGCTTTTCTGGAGCTCTCGATCCTATCAGACGGTTTCATTTGTCATGGAGCATTTGAAAGCTACTATATGTCCATGCTGTCACAAGGTGAAGAAATAACTTAGGACAGGTGACACATCTGACCCAACTCAATACAAGCTTTTGATCCTTGGACAGTCTGAAGTCAAAGTCACTACCAGACAGCAGTGGATGGGATTGAAGCAGGTGTATGGTTTGTTGTAAGATGACTTGCAGAATAAACAACTTTTAAATAGGCTGAAAAAAACTTAGAAAAATCAACTGGACTAGGTTTTTAGGTCGAAGACGTTTCACCTGTTCATCAATTCCGTCCGATACCAGACCCCAACGACACACATGTCTGTAAAATGCTGAATATTTTTGATATTTGAATGGTTTTTCTAGCTGAAAGTATGCTGGAGTTATTCAGCGGCGAAAAACGTACGGAAATCAGAACTATAAAGAACAGGATAACAATAAAGAAACACTTGGAGGATGCGGGCATCGATCCCGCTACCTCTCGCATGCTAAGCGAGCGCTCTACCATTTGAGCTAATCCCCCACCATATTTGTAAACGGGAAGTAAGCCATATATGGCAATCATGGCAAAGGTGATGATATTCTATGCTTCTTCCGGAAGTAACCTGTTTTACTCGGTGTGCATTATAGTTTGTATGAACGTTAATTGCCATCCTAGTCCCCAGAACCTTACATGAATGAAGCAACGAATTTACCATGTGGAAGAAAAGCATGTTTACATGATGGCGTCCTTGATGATCCTCCCACACATGCGCGGTAGCTCATGAAGCAATTGTGTGCGTGTTTTCGCACATTACTAGTGACGTTTGAAGCACTTCAGTGACGTCCGAAGCAAGTGCGTGCCTGTGACATCATACGAATCAGCTGATTGGTTCGGCTTGTCATGTGAATCACTTTGCAGAATAGAGCATGTTCAGGGACAGGATATCCCTATTTAGCGGCGTTCATTTGAATGTTTCTTTTTATTTTACTGTGTCAGCTTGAAACCATACAACCATGTAGTGTAGTCGAACAGGAATATCCATGGCGAATCAAATCCCAAACAATCCATGAACCAGTGGCACTTCTTGATTGCACTTAATTTCATAGACCACTAGATGTCCTATTCGAGCATTGTGTCATTGAAGCCTCCAGTAATGAACTGATGAAATTTTTGTGACTACTGTATCAAAGCTTCAACAAAGCATCGATCAGCCATCACTACCTGTAAGGCACGAAAAACGATATAAAATAGAGTAAATTAACAGTAGGGTAACATTATTTTTTGACAGTATGCAACCTGCAAGTTATGTTACATTATAACAGTACCACCTGTGCTTCTTCTCTGATGTAACTTTTCCGACTTATTTTAGTTCCTGATAATCTTGGATGAACATGTTTTGCACAAAGTGGTATCACTTTTTAAGAAGAAAGAAAAAGCGGTTGGAGGATGCGGGCATCGATCCCGCTACCTCTCGCATGCTAAGCGAGCGCTCTACCATTTGAGCTAATCCCCCAGACTAGCTTCGACCGCTTGATATCATCATTTATAAATCCTTCCAGCGGTGTAATCACCAACCTTACTGATGTGGGGCGGAATTATAGTTCAAAGTTAATTCTAATTGATAGAATCAGCACAAGATTCAGGTTCTGTATTAACCTATTAGAGCTGCAAAATTTGTTAACTGATCACTGAAAGAAAATGAAAGTTATTCATCATTAACGTTATTAAACTCTATTAATTAATCTTTAGTTATTTCTAATCAAAAATTATGTGATGGTTTCCAATTTTCCAGATTTTACCCCATAGATTTACCCGTTTACCACTGTTACCCCAATCCTAAACATGGATGTATTATTAGAAGGCTGTCTTGCTGATGTTAGGGGCTGGATGTCGTTAAGTCGTTTAAAGTTAAATGATGCCACAACCGAAGTTATAGTGTTTGGCCCGATGACCTTCCCCCGGCAGACTTAGGGTTCTTGGGGCAGTATGTGCGACCGGTGATCACTGACTTAGGTGTTAAAATAGACTCCAACTTGGCAATGGAAAGTCAGATAAACGCGGTCGTAAAATCTGTTTTTTCTATCTTAGGCAGTTAGTGAAGGTGTTAGAGTGATTTTTATTTTATGCACTTAAGAATGGTTTTATTTTATAGCACACATAAGTTTACATACTTATATGTCACAGTTATGTTTATATAGTTATGAATATCACCCTATGTGTTCACTGAACCACTGGTCAAATATTTGCTGTGTGAGTCACTGAAACACTAATGCAACATCATAAGTCTTGTCCACTAAATTACTGAATTTCATTAGATTTATGGCTGTAGCTAAGGGAGCTCATAGTTACGTATCGTTCCTCTGGACTGGTGGACCCAAAGGAGTCTTGGTACGGTAAGGCTCCAAGTTTATTAAAATAGATTAGACGTAGA